GATGTGACCACAGGACCCCCTCTGCCCTCAGGGGTGGCCATGGCGGCACACGAAGGCTGGAGCCCTTCCTTTGAGTACAAGGCAAAATCCATGGAGACGAGCAAGCGTCCGTACCCTTTGTGCCGCCACGCTGGCTTAAGAGCTGGTTTTTCCTAGCGAAAGCACCTCCCCAGCCCCGGTTTTTCACTAATCCCCAGTAAAACGTTCATTTCCCCTTCACCACCAGACACCGAGTCCCACGAGAAGGTGGGCACAAAACCTGGAGGCCCGGGCTGCTGGCCGAAGGGAGCTGGGATTTGGGCAGCTAGACTGGATGCCCTTCAGCAGCTGTGCAGCACAGAAGCAGAAATGCCATCTTAGTTCTGGTTCCCATCTGCAGGGATGGTTACACGGGGATGGGAGGTCAGGGTGAGCTGCACAAATTGGGTTTAGACAGTTTTGCAGGGGAAAAAAAAGAAGGAACACAGCAATCTCTCAAGCTACAATACCCACGTGCCCTAACATATGCTGCCATTCCTAAAAGTCATTCCCCATTTTGCATGCGGTGAAAGAAAATTGCACTTTTTTTCATGATATTTCTCCTAAAACAGCTCAACACACTTTTTAGGGCAAAGTTTGTTAAAAAAGAAAATAATAGGGAGGGAGCAATCCCAAAAAACTTGGCAGGCTAACAGCATTTCAGAGCACTGTTAGATTCTGATTTCATGCAGCAAATTAAAGGGAACTCTCTCAAGAAAATTGGACTGCATATGTAAATAAAAATAAATCTTACAACCTTTTGCCTCAGCTAACATTATTCTGACACTGAAGTGTCTACCTGGGGACAGCTGTGTCCTCTTCATGACTAAACATGAGTAAATTTATTCCACAGAACAAAATACAGGATTATTTCATTTGCCTTGCTTGATTTCTGTTTCTTCCATTTTTTCCCCCCCCTTTTTTTTTCCTTTGGTTGATTCACTGAAGGTCGAGGAGGTGCCTTTCCGTGCAATATTTACATCTCTGAGCATCTTTTTCCACTAAGAAATAGCAAAAGCTCCTGGGAGTGCTTTCCTCATGGAAGAGGCCGCAGAAATGCTTACAGCTGTAAGAAAGAAGCCTACCTTGAGCTCTTTTTTTTTTTTTTTTTTTTTTAAATAAAATCATAAATACGGAATAAAAATGTAATCAAATAATTGGCCAGCTCAACGGTTCCACATTCGTTGTGCTGCAAAATATTGTGGTTTCCCTCTGGTGATGCAAGTTTAGTGGCAGCATTTCAGTGCAGCTGAGCAACGCGGCACTGGTGTGAAACACCAACTTCAGGCTGCCATGCGCACCCCTTCGCTGGGCTTCCCGCTGAGGGGGCAGGGGCCCTGCTGCCAAAGGACCCCGACGCGGCCGAGGTACTCAGCGCCACCACCTTCCTCGTCCTACTGCTGAGTCCCCAGCCTTCAGGGACCCCGGGCCCCTGAGACCAGGGGGAAAGTCTGGAGCGAGAAGAGGTACCTTGGTGGAGGAGGACCAGGTTGAGGAATAAGTTTCACCTTCAATCCAATGACCGCAAACCACTCTACCGGGGACTGCAGAGTTCAGGTGGGTTGGTTTTCCGGTGTATGAACCAAACGCTGGCGTTCAGAAGCGAGCTGCTTTCGTTACCTTTCATTCAACGGCCTAGAACAAGTTCCCTTCTAAGAACAAGACTTCCTTTTTTCCAGAACACTGAACTATTTTCCACTTTACTACATGGGGAATTTGTAGGGTCCCTGAATCTTTCAAAAAAACCTGGCACAAAAAAAATTTAAAAATATTATACTGCTTTTAAGTTCTTTAAGGCTTAAACCATGACATTGCTCAGGCTGTGAACTGCACGCGGATTTAATTTCACAATGAAAGCCTAATAAAAATTCTCCTTGGAGCTCACCTGTGAAGACAATTAGGTATGAAATTTTGGCTTATGCAGCCCAGAGCCAGAATTGCCAGCAGTAATGAGGCCGACAGGAGAACCACCGAATGGAAGGTGTATACATACATACATTGTATATACACACACACACACACACACTGCACGCTGGACGCAGGGCCATTCCCACCAGCAGTTGGTTTATACCAGAAGCGTGATTATTCTTAACTTCTAGCCGTGATCATCACATGAATGCCAGGTACAGTAACTGACACATTATCTTAGTCTCCAAATAAAGACCTTTCTGGCTCCTCCTAACCTTTTAATGCCAGCTGTGCCTTCTGGAGATGACTTATTTTAATGACACAAACTTTCTCCAAAGCCTTTCAGATGTAAATGACTGCTGTCTCAAGACCATTGAATGCAAACCCCCATTCTTTCTTTTTAAATATTCTTTTTCAAAAAAAAAAAACATAACCGGAGTACTCCCTTTATTGCCACGGTACACTATTTGTATGTTACTTTTTCATGCAGTGTTCGTACGCGCTAGGGTGCCTCCAGTCTTTTTAGTTTTTATATGGAAATTTTACCTGCATCTACAGTATGTTCTGTCACCCATTCAGCCGCCTTTTGTGCTGATCCCAGTGCAGCGCGTGGACCTGGCACAACCTGTAACTGCCTCCATCAAAGGCCCACGCACCCTTAATCGTAGGTGTAAGTTTTTGCAGAAAGTATTCAGAGAAAAATCTCGTTTGGAAGTCCTCATCTGAATGGAAGGTATCATTTTGAACATATTTAGTAGATTTATTAGATTTAAAAGAACATAGATAGATTCTTTAGAAACCCGCTCGTTACTGAGACAAGGTAATCCCTTCTCCATCAGCGTTCTGCAAACGGTTTTCTGCTTATTCAGTAAGTGAAAAATAGGAAACCTTAGCCTTAGGTAGTTGAGTGTCCTATACCCAGCTCTCACTAGGCTGAGAAACCAACCTCTTCTCTTCGATCCTTAGCTCACAAAACCCCTCAGCAGTTAATATTAACGACCTTTGAAAAGCTTTTAAGGCAAGTTTTCACAAATACATCACTAAAAGCCTTTTGCTTTGACTCTTCAATAGTTTATGAAGATGGTGTGGTTGAATACAACTCCTGCAGTTCCCTTTTGGTTTTCGCCATGGGCCAATCTCTGCCCCATGGGAAGCCGCAACATCCTAAGGGTAGCCAGGGTGGCCTTAGGTGGCCACCTCACTGCAAACCCCAGTCCACTGGGGAAGGCCAAACACCCTCTCTGGCAAAGCCTTTCACCCAGTCTGGCCCCGTATTTTCTCTCCTGGGGGAAATCACCAACCGGTGCTCAGACTCTTGAGCATTTCAGTATCCAGGGCACGACTCTGACAGCACAAGATCCTTTGGAAGATGCTTGAGCAACTCAGCCCACGTGGCGGGGGGGTGGTGATGGTGGTGGTCTTGTGCAAAATGCCCCATCTTTGAGTCTCGCTGTGTTCCTGATGGCAGGAAGGAATTGTTGCAAGGAACCCGGAGCAGAGTTGTGTGTTGGTTGGAAGAGTCCCAGCAGAAGTGCATCCTTCCAGAGCTGCATCAGTTTATGCACGGACAACTCTGCAGCCACACTGTCATGCAAAAATGGGAAGTAAATGCTGCAGAATTTGTACTAATTATTCAGCAGCTTCTGTGCAATGAAAAAAGGCAAAACTGGTGTAAAAGCAGAGAAGACCTCGGGCGCGTTCCCTGCACGGAGCAGGAAGGGCAAAGGCTGTGGTCCTCAAGCATCAGTAGCCGGTGCATCATGTCCGGGAGATCCAGGCAGCGCTCTTGGGCGCTTTGCAAGTGTGAATGTCTACCACTTCTAGGCAGTCCTGGCAGCGCACGGCACAACACCAGTGGAATTTGCACTCGCATTTTGTCATTCTGCTGACGCGGGAGGTGTCGTAGCCTCTCCCGCAGCACATCACTTCACAGCTGTCCATGCCGCGGGAGGTCTGGTTACAAACCCGGCCGGCTGTCCCCAGGGACCCTACAAAGGAACCGCAGTAAAGGTCAGGAGGTGCATTTTAAGGAAGGACAGAAAGCATATGAAAATAGGTCTAGGAGACATAATTTGCCATGTATTTGATCCTTCAACACCACATCACCCAGGATTCAATATCCAGTCGGAGAAATGCCTACAATAAGGTAAAATCGCTGTCAAATTTCACCTAGAAATCAGGTCTGGAGATGAGGAGGAGTAAAATGGACCAAATACTTCAAGGCTCTGCCTGACTCTCAGTATCGTCATGCTTTGCTTCACCTTTCCGTAGCACCTTTCTCCTCCCCAGCGAGCAGATATCCCCACCTAGACAGGTGTGCAATCCCCTGCATCTGCTCCCCCAGGGCTGTGGGCAAGGGGGTGCTGAGGAGGAGCCCCCCCCTCCCCACCCCGGGGTGCTTGGCAGCTCATGGGCTTTGCAGGGGAGCTCTGGGTGGGCAGGGGAGGGCTGGGAAAGAGGAGAGTGCTAAATTTGGTGGCTGCAAGGGACACGATGGGGAGAGTAACCATACTGGCGGGGGGTAAAATGTTTGGAGACGCGAGCGCAGAAGCA